CCAAATGACAGACAGGAAGGAGATGCAGTCCTGCATGCAAGGAATTGGAAAAAAAAAGTTTTTTCCATGTCTGTATGTAACAATGTCAGAAGGCCAAAAACCTTCATAAGTGTAATAATAAAAAATGTTCCTCTTTCTGTTTTTCTGTTTAACCTTCTCCCCCTTTGCCCCCTTCTTTTACATGCTCCCTCCTCCCCCTCACCAGCAAAAGCAGCGATGCCCGGTGCTGGAGGAGCAGCTGGTGGACCTGGTGGTGTACGCCATGGAGCGCTCTGAGACAGAGGAACACTTTGATGCTGACGTCGGAGGAACGAGCCAGCTGCTGTGGCAGCACCTCTCCTCCCAGCTCATCTTCTTCGTGTTGTTACAGTCCGCCAGCTTTCCGCACATGGTGCTCTCATTACACCAGAAGGTAAGAGGAAGCAAGGCACACCTGCTGGTTACTCAGTCATGTGTTGTTTTTTTGTCTATATTAAAAAAAATAATAATCTGGGTTGTTGAAAACTGCAACAGTGTTAGTGTTACTGATCATCTAACTGTAGGCTGTGGATGTTGTGAGAATAATTCTGTTTTTATTACAAATCAAGAAACATCAGGAGGCAGAAATCGCCTCAGGTAAATGCCAAAACAATGGAGATATTAAGAAAGGAAGCTAAACCCTCCAGTATACTCGTGCGTACGTCAGTCCGCGCGTACCGGATTAGATTTAAAGTGGACGCCCGCAGGGCATGTCCGTGCAAAGCTCAATTTTTGACTGCGTACGCGTACTCTGTGGTGCACAATAAACTGCCCGGCGATGGAATGTTTGGTCTGCTACGAGGCAAGCAACGGCTTCCTCCTCCTCCGTTGACGCCATGACTGAAATTGTGAGACATTAAGGAATTTGTCACGAACAAATTAAAATCAGGTCCAGCGTGGACTGACTTTTGAAAAGTCAGAAAGAGATGACCTTAAGCTCTTAATTAAAATTTATTCATGAAAAACTTTTTTTTTTTTTTAAATATCAAAGACTCATACATGTTTCACTGTGTGAGCTCAGTATTATAAAATCTTGATAGGAACTCATCACACTGTAGGATGTATGATTAAATCAATGCAAGACTGTATATCTTCTTGACGAGAATTGACTACGTCTTAAAGAAAATCATTTGTGAACCTGGCTTTGCACAATCACCAACTTGAACTACCAGTGCTCTACTGAATGGAGTTATGCTTGAAAAATTCTGCCTTTTCACATAAAAGCAGAAACAATAAACTAAAGTCCAGGCAGTGTCACGAACCAGGGTTTTGGATTGAAAATAGCTAAACACAGGAGTACAAAAACAAGAACAGTTTTTATTTATTGTAGGCTGTGGGTGCAAAGTCAGGATCAGCTGAGTTAGTCTTCACAGGCAGATGGAGTGTGAGAGTCACCTGTCAAGACTGCAGCGATGACGTCACTGGTCCTGTGCAGAGCAGCTGCAATAACGTGGTTTGAGGGGCAAATTCAATAACTGGGTCCGGTTGTCAGAGCAGGGGTCATGAACAGGAAGGCAGAGGTCCAGATACAAAATCCAAAAATGTAATCCGTGAAGCGTGGTCTAGTAGAGGAAACAGGGTGTGTTACCGTGGCCAGAGAGGCAGACCAATCCAAGAGGGGCAGGCAAGACGAGGAGTCCAAAAACAGGCGAGGATACAAGGCAAGGGCACAAGAAGCGATGAATGGCTTTACTGTCAGTGACCAAGAGTGGTGTAATAATTTGGCAAAGGACTAGTGAAAGTGGAACTCTTTAAATAAGGCAAAGAACAGGTGCAGTGAATCAGGGCTGATGAGCTGAAAGTGCAGAGGGGGGCGTGGCTAATGACAGAGAAGAAAAACAGCATGATGACAAAGAGGAGCAGAAACATGACATGGTGGGGCTGTGAGTATGAGACAGGGGTTGATGGGGGGGGGGGGGGGTCAGCGGGGTCCACTGACTATGACAGGCAGTGTTTTTTTTTTAACATTTTAATGCTAAATTTTATTGTGCAGCCTCAGTTTTTTTTTCTTCTTAGCTGACAGAAGTAACACATTGTTGACCCGGCTTGTTTTAATGTTTAAATTGACCATCAACAAATCTTCCTTATAGGTCTTAAACACAGTTAGTATCACTTAAATACCAGATTAAATACAGGTTTAATGAACATTTCTACAAATTTAAACAACAAAAATGCTTTTATGTATGATGTGTTGGATAAGATCAAAAAGTACCAGTTTTTAATGTTTTTCCTTGAATCATCCAACAAACTAAAACATAAAAATTTTAAATCAAAAAAATTTTCAAAGTATTATTTTTCTTCCTGTCATTCTCCATCTTTAGCTTGCAGGTAGAGGCCTTATTAAAGGGAGAGATCACCTGATGTGGGTCCTGCTGCAGTTTATATCGGGTAGCATCCAAAAAAATGCCCTAGCTGACTTCTTGCCAGTCATGAAGCTTTTTGACCTGCTTTACCCAGAAAAAGAGGTAACTTCAGCCAAAATGGTTCTGTGATGCAGTACTCAAAGTCTTTTCCCCTCTTTTGCTTTTTGTTGTGAACTTAGCAAATTTTTTTCATAAAACAATTAAAATGACCTGTTTAGTAACAATTTATCAAAATGCCAGTGATGTAAACGGAACGTTAATTTTCTTTTCCTTCAGTGTATTCCAGTTCCTGACATTAACAAGCCTCAGTCGACCCATTCCTTTGCCATGACTTGCATCTGGATCCATCTGAACCGCAAAGCTCAGAATGACAACTCCAAACTACAGAGGCCCATACCTCACTCTCTGAAACTACACCATGAGTACAGATCCTTAACTTTTTCAGTCCAATAGTTAAACATAATCGACATAATAGCCTGAAGACTGTCTTCTTCCATCATCTTTAGGTTTCTCCAGCAGTCCCTTCGTACGAAGACACTGGGCATGTCTGATTATAAGATTGCCCTGCTTTGTAACGCCTACAGCACCAACTCTGAGTGCTTCAGTCTGCCTATGGGTGCCCTGGTAGAGACCATCTACGGGAATGGGACTTTGAAGATCAACCTGCCCGGCACCAACTGCATAGCGTCGGGATCAGTCACTCCTCTGCCCATGAACCTGCTGGATTCACTCACTGTGCATGCAAAGATGAGGTAAGATACTAAAAATAGGACAGGAAAACGTTTAAGTTTTTTTGTCTTATTTTAACTCATCCTCTCTGTCTCCAGTCTGATCCGCAGCATCGCCACTCGTGTCATCAAGTTGGCCCATGCCAAGTCCAGCATTGCCCTGGCCCCCGCGCTGGTAGAAACATACAGCCGGCTGCTGGTTTACATGGAGATCGAATCACTGGGCATCAAAGAATTTATCAGTGAGCTTTCACCACATTTTAGAAATACATCTTTAATGA